TCATGTTGCTGCTGATCTGTTTCATGTTGCTGCTGATCTGTTTCAATGTTGATGTGTTCATGCGTGCTCATCTGCTCACAGACTCATGTTCATGTTTGTGCTGATGTTCAATGTTTTATGTTATGAGTGCTTAGTGTATATTTAGTTGATGTTTTTCTTAGTTCATATCTTAGATGTTATTACTGTTTTTCTTATACATTTTATTGTTGGATGTAACTGGGACCCTGTGTACATAATTTCGCTCCACCACATGTACCACATGAGGTGCGAATGACAATAAAGAAACTCTGACTCTAACTTTATGCGAAAGTTCCTGTAAAGTCCCTGAGACAACTTTGTTGTGACTTGGTGCTTTATAAATAAACTGAATTGAATTAAATTGATAAACATCAAAAAGCTGGTGTTTGCTGTCCCTCATCTTTTGCCATGACAGTTTGTGTGTGTGGCCTTGGGATAGATTGAAGACTTGTTCAGGATGTACCCTGCCTGTCCCTGTGGACTGCAAGAGATTGGCACCAGCAACCCTGAACCAGCTGTGTGCAGAAAATGACTGAACAGAAAACTTTTGGTTTAGTCATTTTGTGAACAAAAATAAATAACTTTTGTAAGATCTGAAACATAAAATTTTCAAAGTTTGAAAATGCTTAAAAGATGTTAGCAGAGTAAAAAAACATAGTATGTGTGACAAATGGAGCTCTTATCTGTTTGTTGCTTTTTGCTTACATACTGTAGGAAAGTTGATGTAAGCAAACATGCACGCCACCCTTATCAGCTGCAGTCACACAGTGAGCATCAACCTGCACACCCACCAGCATCCAATCATAAATGCACTTCTGCCTGCCTTATCAAGCTGCTAACAAACCAGAAGGTCAACAACCATTGGTAAGAAAAAACATTTAGTTTTTAATTCAAATGTGGTGACGCTTCGGAGAGCAGCCACACGTTTAGCTGCTACACGTTTTCTTGATGATTTTTAAATCTAAAAACGAAAAGGTAAGAAAAAGAAAATTAAACTATTTACTGTATGTTTGCAGTAGTTCAAAGTACTGAATAATTTTCTAATCATTTGAATACTTAAGCTGACATGTTATATCATGAAACTTTTAAATTCACAGAGCCATTACAAGTCATAAACAGTTTTGGTGTTTCTAAAATTGTATGTTTGGTCTTTTATGCTAAACTCCATTATTTTAGAAGAACCACCAGTTTGGGATATGCAACTTGGAAACATGGCCAAATCTAAAGACAAAGGTAAGTTCCTCCCATAATTTAATTCTAAACAACAAACATATCTGCTCCCTCATTCATACATTGTGTTACCTACAGTATTTCTGAACACTTAGTTTCAGCTGATAATTAAAAATATGAAACTCATCCACATTCCACACATCCCAGAATAATCCATTTTTCTGCAGCTCACATTTTGTACAAATAAAAAGCAGAAATACACTACAGTACATTATAGTGCACACTGCTTAGTAATAAGTGCACGGGAATAAGAAGTAATTATTAAGTGTATTTGCAGTGAAAAACTTTATGGCCAAGCTGAGAGCAGAGTTCATCAGTGGGCAAAGTTTAGCAGGAGCGCTCACAGAAACTTGGATTTCACTCCCGCCGCATGAACAAATGAACGTGCTGCGTCATCTCATGGAAGAAGGAGCCTCTCCATCCCAAGACAGTTCCTTCAACACACTTTCTGACCAGAGAGCCAACACTAAAGCCGATTTAGGTAAGTACACGTTGTTTATGCTCTGCTATTCAATAGTTTCTCAGTTTTGTTGCTAGAACATTTCATCAGTGTCACATCCAAAAGTTATCAAACAGAAGTCAAAATGATTTTTCTACAAGAAAATGAGTGCATAGCAAACTGCTTCAACTTCCTGATGTGTGTTTGCAGCAGCATATACAGGTACTGTGTGCCATCTGCTTTGTCATTACAACACTGCAACAGACCAGTGGGTGAAAATCATGTTCACCAACAGTTGAAAAAACAAAAAGGTGTGTGTGTGTGTGTGTGTGTGTGTGTGTGTGTGTGTGTGTGTGTGTGTGTGTGTGTGTGTGTGTGGGGGAACATGTTTAGTGAATCCAAGACAACATGTTTAAATGTCCAGCGTGATGATTCTCACAGGATTTTAAATGAAAACATGGTGAACTGCAGGAAGCATCCTCAGGTCAACTTGTGTTTTTAATGTTCTAGTTTTAGTCAGTATTTTTAACACTGCATTTCATGTCAACATACATAAAATGACAAGAATATATATAAAAATATAAATATATGTAAATACAATTAACTAAAAATATATAAAATAAAAACTTTCAAACACTGAACTGAAACTGTGAAAGATGCCAATAAATTAAGAATACCTTCAAAATGTCTGAACTACTTAAGTTACTCAGGGGTTCATTTGAGCCGGATCCTTCCGGAACAAGATCCAGGAACTCTCTCAGTTTGACCCGTTCTGTTCCAGAAACTCTTTGTTTGGATCCGGCAGCTCCGCCCCTAAAAGTCCAAAGTCATTGTGCATTTTTATTTTGATCATTTATTAAAAATACAACGAGAGGAGACGCTGCTTTAGCCCGGCCGACCCAGTCTGTGCATGTTTCAGCTGCAGCGCGCACGGAGAACCAGCTACACGGGGGGGTGAGGAGCATCTGAGAGGGGGAGAGGAGCCTCTGTGAAGGGGTGAGGAGCCTCTGTGAGGGGGTGAGGAGCCTCTGTGAGGGGGAGAGGAGCCTCTGTGAGGGGGAGAGGAGCCTCTGTGAGGGGGTGAGGA